TAAAAAAAAAAAAAAAATACATTTTAAGTGTACTGTCCCTTTAATGAGACGTGCAATGTGCATTAACAGGTGTGCATTAGGATTCGAATGAGACTACAGTGTCTCAGGTCCGGTACAGACCTGAGCGATCCGGGATTGCACGGTTCTGCACAATGCAGACAGCCATTGCGGCGCGTCCACATTGATTTTAATGGGGTGACATCCGCGCGGCAATCGCAGAAAAAACGTACATGCTTTTTTTTTTTTTAAGCTGAAATATATTTATTCTTGAGTTTAGTTATCCATCAAACCTACAAAAAGGAGGAACATCCCAGGTTGCCGTAATCACAGAACTAACAGGTTTATACTGGTCCAGTGTGCAGACCGGGTGCTACAGCTGAATTCCAGCATGGACCATGCTGTTTCATATGGACATGAGACAAGCAGTCATCCTACCCCACTCTAGTTTATATTCTCCCCATCTAGTACTACTTGCTACGACAACGCCATGTACATGCCCAATAAATACCTACGCTACGTGAAGGCATTTTATACATCTTTATTAAAGTTTCTTTTGATACCACAAAACATCTACGCACAGTGTTGTATGTTTTTAAACCTGTAGCAGCATCTTTCTGGGAAGAATATGCACTTTTTTTTGCGATACCCAACGCACTGCTGTTTTAGCCATTTAGTGCCATTTAGAAAATAATGGCACCCACAGCGCAACCGTCTGTGTTGGGCAACTCCATGACCGCGTGGCAATACGCTCGGAATTGTGCACAATTGCCGTGCGGTCAGGAGTCGCCTAGGTGTGCACCAGCCATAAAGCTGGCATAACAGTAATGTAGTAAAAAGAGAGGCCGCACACCGCCTGCATGCTTTTATCAATAAAAACCATGGAAGGAATCCCCATCCAGCAGGCACCCACCACTTACATGTTTCACCCTTACAGGGTTAGAGAGATCCAAGGGTGAAATCCGCAAAGGGCGGACGGCTGCTTGGTGGGGATTCTTTAATAATGGATTTTTATTTATTAAGGCATACAAGCGGTGAACGGCAGTGTGCGGGATCTCTATCTGTACTACATTGCGATTTTAGAGCGTGGACGGCTCCAGGTTGGCACCCACATATACCCAGGCGGAAGAGATCGCTGTTGGATGAAGCGGTGAAGCCCTTTGTTGTTTGCACACACAACTGGTAGAACAATAACTTGCTGGCATGTAATAAGAAACCAAAAAAGCCAAAATACAGGATGCTATCTGAACAAATGGAAAGAAAATCCACAGACACAATAATATAGAAGCCTTAAACTTGACAGTATATTATTAGCTTGAACCACACAAGTTCTGTAGTTTACATGGTATCTAGACTGAATTAAAGAGAAAACACAACATTAAATGGAGAGACTTTGAAGTCGTTGGATGTGTTATGCAGAAACACCACAACTATGCGAAGCGTGTTTGAACAAGACGCCATGTGATTACCCCTGGACTGCTGATGAGCAGCATTCTCTGACTTGTGACAGACTATACTGCAAGGGTAAATTCAGCCTTAATCTACACAACGGAATCTGAGACCTGAAGGGATTTCAGCACAGCATGCTAGAGTAGCAAACTTCTCCCGGATTACTTACCAGACATGTCAGCAAAAGCCACAGCATCTTTAACAGAAATAGGCCTTTCCTCTTCTGGGACGCAGGACTGTTCATGGCTGCCGTGCTACGGTACCTTCAAAAACAAAAAGTACTGATGATTAGAAGGACAACTCCAACCAAACAGCTTAATACACACTTCACACCCAAAAAAATAAATAAAAAGATAAAGGATGGACTGAGCTCCATTCAAACATTGACAAATAAATGCCGATGCTTTGACTTATCTCTCCTGCAAGGCCCATGAGTGTCGCTATACCTGCGTTAGATTTGTGTGGATATTGATATTTTTGTGGATGAGCGCCAAGGCATTTACTTTGCCCTTAGCTGCCCAGAAGACATTTGTCTGTCAACTGTGGTGGAAAGGCAACCAGTCCCATTTAAATAGAACAGAATGGGGCGTCTACATATTCCCTCACATCCACGAATGCTTTGTCCTGATGGCTATACGTTTTAGGTATTTGCAACTTCATGTGAAGCCCTGCTGCCCTGTCCTGTTATTGAAAATTTGACTCCCCAGCACTACACGATATGAATACATTAAGAGCAGGCATATCTTGAAGGCAGCCCCTTCCTCCTTAAAAGGGATAGTTCACATTTCCCAAAAATCCCTCATGCATCCCAGCATGCACTAGATTACAAATCACTGTACCTTTAAAAAAAAAAAAAAAGATCCTTTTGCATGTCATACCTGGGGGCTGCGTGCGGCCTGACCACAAACTCCCTGGCAGGTGATCCCCCTCCATCCCTGTAAACTGTAGGACACACCTGAACGTCCCCAAGACAGAATAAACACGTTTGTTCAAACTATATGAATGTGGAGTGCACTCACTCCCCTCCGTTACAGAAGTGGCGGAGCTCAGAGGGGAAGAAAGCACAGTGCGCATTCGCAGTCTTTTAACGCACCATTGCTAAAGGGGAGAGAGTGCACTGCACAAGCGCACTGCACTTTACGCAGTTCTGTCTGCCGACATCACATGGTGGCATCCAGCAGTAGTCTGAGTTTTCTGGATGTCTACACAAGGGAGACTAACAGGTAAATAACATGCATAAAATACATTCAATGTAGATATAAAATTGTATGGGACGATTTCAGTTGAAATTTATGGTCTGGCGATAGGTTCTCTTTAAAAGGTACAGCACCATACCAGAAGCCCAGACATGCTCAAGGCAGCTGAAGACCCTCAATATGCGACTACACCAAATCCAACTAACTAAAAACAGCAGCCACTCAGATCGGTTTGTCCGCACGGTTTAAGGAAGGCAACACATTTTAAACCAGCAGACTTGGTGCTTCTGCCCCACTTCTTGCTTTCTTTGGCTACCAGTGAATATAGCCACACCAGTGACACTCCTTCCTCTGTGTACATATACACTTCCATGCACACACTAGAACAACCACATAGACCTCATCTGGTGCTCCAACTGCCCATAACTGCTAAACGCCGATATATATTTCTTACCATGGGTTACGACACATTTTTATTCTAATTTATGCCGTTTTCAAGCATGACAGATGTGTGGCTACGTCTAGCCCCTGTATAGACTAAACCATTTGTTTTTACTGTATTTTCACTCAGTGCATACATCCATTCACATCAGTCCCTGTTCCCCGAAGATTACATTCTAATGTCCTTACTACACTAATATGAGGTATTTTCATATATTTAGGTCATTATTGTAGTTTTTACATGAAAACCTTTCATTTTAAATAAGTGTATTTTCTGTAAAGATTTGTAGAGTATTCTCAAAACTGTATGCCAGACTACAATGAATGTTCCTGTTGTCTGACTGCTGAGATATCAGGATAAGGATCTGATTCATCAAAGGGTGAGAACACCTAAGGCATGGTAAAGTGTGCTCTAAAAACTTCAGTGTATGTAATAATACTTAAGCTGGGCTTAAAAGCAAGCCTAAGAAAAAAAAAATCCTGATATGAACCTTGTATTCCACCAGGTATGTTCTTCTCTAGCCCCAGGATGCCTGAAAAGGGTCTTCTAATGTGCAAACAGCAGCATTACAAGTTGATGCCCGACTGCCATCTAGTGCAGTGTTTCTCAATCTTTTTTCAGTCATGGCACCTTTTAAAAGTATGTCAAATCTTGGGGCACCAGAGTCTACAATGTAAAAAAATAAAACAAAAGTTTATTTTTATTTTTTTTTAAACCACACACCACGTGCCCCCCCCCACCCCCCCAATCAATATCAGACCCTTATCCTAGACAGATGTCTGGTATGGATTTTAAGGGGGGACGCCAGGCAAAAAAAAAAAAAGTGGAATTTGTCCCTTCACATCAGAGTGCTCCTTTCACACCAGTCCCCTTCAAATCAAAGTCCTCGCCTTTAGCAAAAATTTGAAGGTACCCCTGACAAAGCCACATGGCACACCCTGGTTGAGAAAGGCTGATCTAGAAGGACCATCCATCACAGTAATGGGCTAGTGGTAAGGCAAGAGAGAGAGAGAGAGACTTCCAGAGTTAATTACTATAGAAGTCACTGTTTTCAGAATAGCGCACCCCTCAATCCGAGGATACTAGGGCTCTCTAGAGAAGAACAGTCCTAAGCTGCATATACATGGTTAGCATTTTGTACTGAGTGACGTTGATACAATTAATTTCATCAGATCATTAGCAAATGCCATCAGAGACTTGACGAATGTTGTTCAAGATTCACATTTCACGAAAGCCACAGTTAGAATGTAATTCGTTTGAGAAAACATTTCCACCACTATGGTTACATCTACTTTACTTATACCTTACATAGTATTCAGGTACGCGTAGCCAACATACTGATAAAAATCAAAACCTTCAGGCATGGCAATAGTTCACGGCATGGCTTAATTGTGCCAATCAGCCATTTCATGGTCCATAAGCTACAGAGGACTCTGGAAAATTAAAAGGTACCTTATAACTTGAAAATCTAGTATGGAAATGCAATGGGCAATGCCTACCCACCCTGGGATATTCCTTCTATCTTGGAACAAAGCTGAGATCATCAGGCACTGTGTACAATTCTCTGTTTGTCAGTAGACTGGTTTATCACCAGCCAGGACTTTTGATCCTCCGATACCACAGGGTCAGGACTTCTGATCCTCCGATTCCACAGGGTCAGGACTTCTGATCCTCCGATTCCACAGGGTTGGGATTCCCAACTCCACCCATCTGAATTTCTAGGCAGGCACAATCACTCTGCCCTTCTAGAGACAATCTCATGCTCTAATGAGGATTCATAAAGGTTTACAGGCACGACCTGCCCCCAAATTCCTGGAAACACTGTGCGAAGTGTAGCAGTAAAGCTGACCATACACTCATAGTTTGAGGGGAAAAATGCTTGATTTCCCTGCTGGGCTATTGTATTCTGACAGCCGACAATCTCAGCTGTCTGAATACTCAAACAGTAACGGCAGCCGAATAGTTGTATCCACTGTTGGGCCGTCAATTTTCGTGCCAGCTCTTTTGACAAAGGTCGATTGGAAAAAAAAAAAAGTGGAATAGAATGGTGCAGACAGGGTCAACCCACAGTTCACATTTCGGCCTAGTCAGCAGGACATTGAGCAGTGGTTGCCAAGGACTCTCGACCGAAATTCGAGCAGTGGGTGGCCAGCTTAAAGTGCAAAGAGACATTTTTTTTAAAACTTTTCGGTTAGCGTGGAGAGGGATTAGAACACTTGTCGGGTCTTTATTGCTTCCTGTGTCCCTGTTATGGAAATCTACCCTCTCTATTTGTCCTGGTGATCTCAGTGAAGGCAAAATAAAATCCCCAATTTTAAGTCGTCTCCAGAACAGGACTAGGTGGAAAATCTTCTAAATGGGGACATTAGTTCTGGTCACCCTGCTGACCACCAGGGATTTTGGAGGTATGTCCTCTACTTTCTGTTGTGGCCATCAGACAGAGAGTGAAGGGAAATCTCCCCAATGGGACACAGATGGCAAAAAAAAAAAGCTGGACAAGGATTTTAACCTTCCATTACCTTAGCCAAAAAAATAAATATTTAAAAAATAAATAAATACAAAGTGTGGCTTCAGTTCTACTTTAAAAAGGGAGAAAGGTGGCACGGCACAGATTTGCTGCACAGTCCAGAAGCACTGCCAAAGCTCTACTCAATCATATTGCAGGTGATGATCATGAGAAAACTCATTCTGAACTTTGTTTTAGCATAAAATACACTGTTTAAATTTTAAATATAACAGATTCCTTCATCCACGTTATGTAGTATGGATGGAGGAATTTTACCCTGTTATCTCTGTATTCTGACAGCGGCAGGCGTGCCCCTGGCAGAATACTCGAATAGTGATGCCAGCTGATTGGCCGCCGTCACTGTTCGCCCCAAGATTTTCCCATCTGGCTCCTTTAACTTTCTGATCGATGGATGCCGGGCAGAAGGGTGCCAACAGGGGCACCCACTGTGCAAACTTTGACCAGATCATCAAGAACCGGCTGAACTTCGCACAGCGTATGGCCAGCTTAAGGTGTACTCAGATCAAATCAGCAGCACAATCAGCGATTTTTACCTGCTGCTTGTAGCTGCCTTTTACTCTGACTGTGTATAAAGAAACACAAGGGCCACAAAATCAATGCACGGGACTAAATAAATTGTTCCCAAACAACCCTGGGAAGTGTGAGAACCACATACTCCCTAGACATAATAAAAACAAAGCGTATATATATATAAAAGGGTAAAAATACCAAACCGTTATTGTGGACTAAAATAACCATGAGAGACTGGCTTATTAGTATTTAATCTACGAGTAGTGATTTCCTTCCAGGAGAATTCTCTCACACATAAAAGAGAGAGGCAGTCTCACATCTACATATTTAGATAATTGCAAGGTCAGAACTGAAAGGCCCCGGAGTTCAGACTGCTCGGCACAGTGTCAAGACCTGCAGCTGAAAGCATTCTCCTGCTGGCTGGCTCCTGGATAGCTTCAGCCTTTTAACATTTGCTTTATAATGATCACTTTCATCTTACTTCCCCAGGCTATCGCTACAACGGCCATTGACACCGAGCCAGAAGGCTAGGAGAACAGGTATTTCTTTTCAGGCAATGGAGTTCCCCACCCCACAAGAGGAACAAAA